AAGAGTGGAGCGCGGTGAGAAAATGGCGGATGTTACTCGTTCGTACCGGATGAATCGTTCTACCATCGGTACAATACTCAAGAACAAGGATAAGATCATGGAACATGTGAAAAGTTCAGTCCCTATAATTAATATAAATTTTATTTTATGTACTGTATTTGAATGTTGTTCAAAGCACATTAAAACCCCCCCGAAAGCTACTGTATTCTTTATACCGGTACGTCCGAAAGTAGAGCTTGTTGTACAGTAATCAAAACATACCGTACGCCCTACTACGACATACGAACAAACGTACTTACGAACAGCCTACTGGAACGGAACCTGTTCGAAATTCGGGGGCTACCTGTATTCATTGTTGCTGTAAGAGTCATAGCGCAATTACTATGATTTTATTATTATCATCATTCATATTGCCATCATTGCCATAATCCTCATACACGTCATTAAAACCATCATCATCTGTTTTTCTTTTCATTACCAGTAATTACTTCCTGCATATGTACGATTATTGGAATATCATCCAGCATGACTGATTCTGTGCGCTCGCAAGCTTGCTTTCGGCTCAGCAACCTCTCCTGCATTCCCTCAGAATCCCCCCCCCCTCTCCCCGCCACCCACCAGCGTCCGGTCGTCGCCGATGAGTTCCCGGACGATCCTGCAGCGGCGTTTGTCGTCCTCCAGGTCCTGGCCGACCTTGATCTTGAAGTGGCGCCAGCCCTGCGCCATGTACTGCCGGCACAGGCGCTCGATCTTCTCCCGGGAGTACCCAAGCCATCCTGTGGGAGGGGGAGTAACGCAGGGGAGGAGAAGAGCCGAAGGGGAAGAAAGATAAGGAGGGGAAGATAATGGGAGGAGGAGGAGAGAGAGGAAATTGACGGGAGAAAAGTGAGCAGGAGGTGACAGAAGGGAAAGAGGAGAGGAGAAACGGTCGGGGATAGAAGAATAGACGTAAATAAATAGCGGGGAGAAAGGAAAGAAACAGAGGAGAGATAGAACATGAGCAGAGAGATGAGAGAGAGGAGGCAAAAGAGAGGGGGGGGAGGCAAGAGGGGAAAAATACAGGAATTGAGAGATGTTAGGAAAAAAGACAAAAGGAAAGATCCGAAGGGACAAATGGCATGAGAAGAAAAGAATGTGTAAAAGAAAATAGGGTAAAGCGAGGCAGGGAAAATGCAAATACAGGTAAGTTGAAGAGAAGAAAAAAAAATTGAGTAATTTGCAAGACGACCAAATATAGAAACAAAGGTAATCGTATCTCCTTTCAATACACCATTTTTTATGTTAAATCAAATATAAGAACTATACGATACTTATAAAGATAAATAATGACCCCCTCCCACACACACATTCCATTGGCCATCTTAATTAATCCCAAGTATTTTTCCAGTTCTCTTTCTTTCTGTATCATCTATCTGTTACTACTATATCCCATTTTCTTTCTCCTCGCCACCTCTGTCTCAATTTTTTTTCTCGCTTTCTCCATCTTCCCCTCCACACCGTCCTCCTGTTTTATCGTCTTTTATTTTTTTCTATCTCCCCTTTCTCTTTTTCCTATAATTTCTCTGCTTGCTTACCTGCCGCCGTGGTATACGCTGGGTAGCCTTGCGAGAGCATTGTCTCTTCTCTCTTCGCTTTTCCTGCTTCCATCGCTTTTAGCATGCTCACTGCCTCTTCCCGGGTCAGCACGTCGCCTCTGTTGGGAAGTGAAATTATGATAACCCTCGAGCTGACATTTGAGCTTTTTTTGCACGGTAAATCGCACGCAAAAGCTTGTATCGCAGCAGCGCACGAAAATTTTGGGGGCGATTTTTAAACTTTCCTCAGTATATGAGTGTTTCATATCTTTTATTTACTGAACTTAGGAGTCGGTATCCTTTAACAAATAATACATCTAGAAGAAAACATATAAAGACAAATACTTACAGTATGCATCACACACGCACCTAGAAATAATAACAGGGCGTTCATGCACGATTTTACACATGCACATGTATACATACAAAATTTAATATATAAATAAACGAAATTTGTAACTGATGTCAGCATTAACATATATATAATCAAAATGTTGAAATGGTCTTCACTACTTATGCGACAGCCATCAGGATCAGCTCTGAAAGAAGAGCTGTTCTTTAAGCGCGGATTTTGACGACCAGCGAGGAAAACCCTCTCCACAGAGCACACGGCGGGCGGGGCTCACATACATGTATCTGAAATCTATGGTCGAGACGAGCTTCTCCGGCTCCATGTCCACCAGAAGCTTCCACAGGGGCTTGTTCTGCAGCCGTGCCCACAGGTCCCACAGAGCGTTAACGATACCTGCCACGGCCAGGTGTAGAACGCCCTTCTCGGGTCCGACCTGCCAGAGAGGAAGGGCTGAAGGTGGAGGTCTTTGCAAGTAAAACCGCAATTCTGTGCCTCTTGACCATTTTGTCTTAATAGGATATTTATGGAGATATAAAGAAGAATCAGGCATATAAGCACGGACTAGAGTACGTTAATCAAACCTCCTGTAAACAAATTCAAGCATATTTTTCTCGTATATTTTCTTATTGTTCATCAATAAATGTAGTAATCTGTACCATATAGTTGTAGAAATAGAGATATATAGATATATATATATATATATATATATATATATATATATATATATATAGAGAGAGAGAGAGAGAGAGAGAGAGAGAGAGAGAGAGAGAGAGAGAGAGAGAGAGAGAGAGAGAGAGAGAGAGAGAGAGAGAGAGTTATCATGATCCGTAGTTCGTGGCCGTACCCATCTCATCTGCGACTCGGAGGTGAGTGACCTCCAGACGCCTGCGAAGTCGTCGTAGATGTCCTTCAGGTTCCTCCCGACGATGATGTGCGAGAGCGACTTGACGGCGGCCACCACTGCGGGAAGAGGCCGGAGAGGGCGTGAGGTCGTGAGCGAAGGAGACAGAGGGAAGGAGGGAGGGAAGGAGGTAGGGAGAGAGAAAGAGAGATAAACAGATCGAGAGAGCACAGTGATATTGATGATAATAATAATAGTAATAACAATAATAAAAACAAAAATAATGATATGCTTAATAAAATAATAATAATAATAACAATAATGATATTCATAATAAAGTAACAATAATAGAATGATAATAGTACCAAAAATAATATGTATAATAAAATGATAATAATAATATAAAAATATAAACAGTAATAATGATAATAACAAAGTAATATCCATATGTAAAAATGATAATGATAATAAAAACAATATCAATATTAACAGATGATGATGAAAATAATAATAATAATAATAATAATAATAGTGATGGTAATAGTAATAATCATAAAAATAAGAGTAATAATAAAATATCACTATTAATAAGGATAATAATAATGACTAATAATAACAATAATAATAATGATAAAAATAATGACAATAATAACGATATTAATAATGATACTAAAGATGATTAAAAATGAATAATAATAAAAATAATAATAATGATAAAAATGGCATTGATAATGATAAAACAATAATAATAATAACAACGATGATATTAATGATAATGATAATAACAATAATAATTACTATTACTGGTTATCATTATCACCAATATAATTGCCGTCCCTGTACGCAAGCGGTCACCGAGACGAAGGTAAGAGCCTGAGTCTGCTCCTCGTCAGGAGGACCAGCGCCCAGCGACAGATAGGAAGGAAGCGCCCTGCGCCGCTCACCCAGCTCCGTTCCCCGGCCGATGGTGAACGAGATGCCGTGGCCCTTGATGTCCGTGTCCGTGTAGACGATCACGTACGCACACGAGTAGTCAGGGTCCGGGTGCTGCGGTGAAGGAGTCTCTCAGTCCCTTCCATTTTCTATAGTCTTAGTGTGTGTGTGTGTGTGTGCGTGTGTGTGTGTGTGTGTGTGTGTGTGTGTGTGTGTGTGTGTGTGTGTGTGTGTGTGTGTGTGTGTTGCTGTTGCGTGTGTGTTTGCGTATGTGTGTGTGTGTGTGTGTTGTGTGTGTGTGTGTTGTCGTGTGTGTGTGGTGTGTGTCGTTGTGTGTGTGTGTGTGTGTGTGTGTGTGTTGTGTGTGTATGTTGTGTGTGCT